AACTCTGAATCAGGTCGAATAAAGACAAGCCTTCAGGCTAGAGCTTTTTGGGAGCTGCCAGATAGGTCAAATATTGACAGTTCTCTGAGGATAGTGCTTTTTGGGAGCTACAAACTTGTTGTGTTCTTTCCAGTGGCTTCTAGCTTGCTGGTTTCACATTGCAGTTGGAAGTGTGCTGGTTTTATTTTTTATTTTATTTTTTTTTCTCTCTCTCTCTTTCTCTTTCTTTCGACGGAGTCTCCCTCTTGTTGCCCAGGCTGGAGTGCAATGGCGCGATCTTGGCTCGCTGCAACCTCCATCGCCTGGGTTCAAGTGATTCTCCTGCCTCAGCCTCCTGAATAGCTGGGATTACAGGAGTGTACCACCACACCTGGCTGATTTTTTATATTTTTGGTGCAGATGGTGTTTCAACATGTTGGGCTGGCTGGTCTCGAACTCCTGACCTCAAGTGATCCACCTGCCTCAGCCTCCCAAAGTGCTGGGATTACAGGCGTGAGCCACCATGCCTGGCCAGACATTTTTCTTAAATAAATACTCCTTGGACTTGGAAAGGCTTTGGTTTATCTGCAGAGCTCTGAAAGAGTCAATGTTGATCATTTTTGGCAGTATTCTCATAGCTTTTATGGAGGAGCAGATTTCCAGAGGTCCTTCCTCTGCCATTCTGGAAGTTTCCTTTCCCCAGTAACATTTCTGGCTGTACCACCTGCTGTTCTCCCAGATCACTCTGCTTCAGCTACTCTTGCTTCATTATTTCTTGAATGTGCCAGGCAAGCCTCTGTCATGTGACCTTTGCGTTGCTTTTACCACTACCTGAAATATTTTCCCCCAGGTGTTTGCCTGGTTTGCATCCTCATCTCCTTCAGGTCTTTGCTCTATATCACCTTCTCAGTGAGGCTTTTACTGACCACTCTTGTTTTTGGACTATCTTATTTAGAATTTCAACCCTTCTAACCCCATGCATTTCTAGTCTTCCTTTCAGACCTATTTTCTCCTTTTTTTTTTCCTTTGAGACGGAGTCTCTCTCTGTTGCCCAGGCTGGAGTGCAGTGGCACGATCTCGGCTCACTGCAACTTCCGCCTCCCGGGTTCAAACGATTCTCATGCCTCAGTCTCCTGAGTAGCTGGGATTACAGGTGTGTGCCACCACGCCAGGCTAATTTTTTGTATTTTTAGTAGAGATGGGGTTTCACCATGTTGGCCAGGCTGGTCTTGAACTCCTGACCTCCAGGTGATCCACCTGCCTCAGCCTCCCATAGTGCTGGGGTTACAGGCATCATCCACCGTGTCTGGCCTTATTTTTCTCCTTACCACTTCCATCCTTCAACCTGTTAACTGTTTCCCCAACTAGAACCTAAGATGCATGAGCGCAGGATTTTTTTTTCTCGTGTTGGCCTCTGTATTCTCAGTACCTAGAATAGTGCCTAACTGAGAGTTGATGCTCCACAACATTTATTGAATGAATGAATAAATAAATGAATGAATGAATAAATAAATAAATAAATATCAGGGGTTATACAAGTGTAATCTGAAATGAAAAAAAGCTGTTTCAGCAAACAGACTAGCAGAAACTACAAGATTTTATATATAATATATAATATATAAATATGTCATATATAATATATACAAAAAATATAAACATATTTTACATATATTATATATTCTATGATATATTTTATATATATTTTATGATATAATATATAAAATATATATATTTATATATATGTATTTTTTGAGGCAAGAGTTTTGCTCTTATCGCTCAGGCTGGAGTGCAATGGTGCGATCTCGACTCACTGCAACCTCCGTCTCCCAGGTTCAAGCAATTCTCCTGCCTCAGCCTCCTGAGTAGCTGGGATTACAGGCATGCGCCACCATGCCCGGCTAATTTTGTATTTTTAGTAGAGACAGGGTTTCTCCATGTTGGTCAGGCTGGTCTCGAACTCCCGACCTCAGGTGATCCACCTGCCTTCACCTCCCAAAGTGCTAGAATTACAGGCGTGAGCCACTGTGCCTGGCCCAGTTATATATTTTTAACAATTACTATTTTTTTGTTTTTGTTTTTTTAAGACAAGGTCTCACTCTGTTGCCCAGGCTGGATGGAGTGCAGTGGCGCGATCACAGCTCACTGCAGCCTCAACCACCAGGGCTGAAGTGATCCTCGTGCCTCAGCTTCCTGAGTAGCTGGGACTGCAGGCATGCCTCACCATGCCTGGGTAATTTTTAATTTTTAATACATATATTTTTTTGAGATGGAGTTTCACTCTGTCATCCAGGCTAGAGTGCAGTAGCGTGATCTCAGCTCACTGCAACCTCTGCCTGCCAGGTTCAAGCGATTCTCCTGCCTCAGCCTCCCAAGTAGCTGGTATTACAGGCATGCGCCACCATGCCCAGCTAATTTTTGTATTTTTAGTAGAGATGGGGTTTTGCTATGTTGGCCAGGCTGGTCTCAAACTCCTGACCTCAAGCGATCTGCCCACCTCAGCCTCCCAAAATGCTGGGATTACAGGCGTGAACCACTGTGCCTGGCTAATTTTTACATTTTGTGTACAGACAGAGTCTTGCTATGTTGCCCAGGCTAGTCTTGAACTCCTGGCCTCAAGCTATTCTCCTGTCTTACTCTGTCACCCAGGCTGAAGTGTGTTGGCTGGCTGTTCACAGGTGCAACCATAATGTACTACAGCCTTGTGCCCCTGGGCTTAAGTGATCCTCCCACCTCACCCTCTTGAGTAGCCGTGACTACAGGTGCATGCTACCTCACCTGGGTGCTGTTTTTTAGTAGTATTTATTCTATTTTTTCATTTATTGTTATTTTTTTGAGATGGAGTCTTGCTGTGTCACCCAGGGTAGAGTGCAGTGGTGTGATCTTGAGTCACTGCAACCTCTGTCTCCTGGGTCAAGCAATTCTCATGCCTCAGCCTCCTGAGTAGCTGGGATTACAGTCATGCACCACCACGCCTGGGTAATTTTTGCATTTTTAGTAGAGATGGGGTTTCACCATGTTGGCTAGGTGGTCTCCAACTACTGACCTCAAGTGATGCCGCCCCACTTTGCCTCCCAAAGTGCTAGGATTACAGGCATGAGCCACCACACCCAGCAGTGTATTTATTCTAATACAATTAGTTGTATCATGAAACAATTAGAGTGCTCTCTGTTTATATTGTGTGTATAGTTTCATCTCACCCCCCTCCAAGGAGACTTGCTTGAGTGAGGTTGCAGCTCTGGCAGGAGCAGGTGGGGAATATGTTTCTTACAGCATCATTAGTAGCTTATTGAATTGACTGCTGTTTTCTCATTGTTGACCATTAGCCAGAGATCACTCTTCTTTGGATATGAGATATCCAGGCTATTATTTTTCTGAAGAATTCAGTGTTTCCATCCTACTTTTTCCAGTCTCCAAAGACTGGGACCCAAATGCTGTGGTTAGAAGGTGTTATTTTAGTTTCTCAGTTTTGGCATAGATATCTGATAATTTTTCCAATAAAAATGTATTTAACATTTTTACACTTACACTACTTTTAGTATGCTTTTAGTAGGTAATACTGAAATGGTTATAATACTGTCCCTTGTTCTGTAAAAAAAATACAGTTCATTTTGAGAGAAGAACCTTGATGTGAAAGTTTCCCTCCCATGATCAGTGATAGGTATCTTTCCTTGGCTCTTAATTTCTTATATTCTTATACTTATCTCTGCATGTGCCTTATTACTTATCCCAAATTTAAGCCCGTTTTCTGTCTTTGTACCATTTGCAATGTGAAAAATTGTGTTTGAATTACTGAATGTACTAATTTATGTGAATGTTGTTTTAAATCCATAAAATGCAGAGAAATGTTGGGTGATATTTTTCTTTTTGTTTTTGGTCAAGTGATGTTTTCTAAAAAATAAATAATAGAAAGCATCTAATTGTTGAATGAGTGGCACTGGTGCTGTTTTAAGAGGCTTTTGGAGATGATATAACTGTGGACTGGGAAGCTGAGCAAGACTTTTCAGAGAATGTGGGATTCATGTTCTGTTAAGGAAGAACAGATGTTCCATGGTTAGGAATGGGAAGTGTATTCAGGTTGGAGAGAAGAGCTTGTGCACTGGTGGGGATACAACATGTAAGGATATTTAGAGACCAGTGAATGGGTCACATGTGCTCCAGTGGAGACTGTGCATGTGTGGGTGACTGAGAGCAGAGTGGGCAAGTTGTGATTGAGCCTTATACTTGCCATGTGACCTTTAGACAAAGTCTTTTACTTCTAACTTTTTTTTTTTCCCCGAGATGGAGTCTTGCTCTGTCACACAGGCTGGAATGCAGTGGCGCGATCTTGGCTCACTGCAACCTCCGCCTCCTGGGTTCAAGCGATTCTCCTGCCTCAGCCTCCTGAATAGCTGCGATTACAGGCGTGCGCCACCACGCCCAGCTAATTTTTGTAGTTTTAGTAGAGATTGGGTTTCACCATGTTGGTCAGGCTGGCCTCGAACTCCTGACCTAGTGATCTGCCTGTCTCGGCCTCCCAAAGTGCTGGGATTACAAGCATGAGCCACCGCGCCTGGCCTTACTTCTACTTTTTATTTTTCCTTTTTCTTCTTTCTTCCTTAGTTTCTTCTCCCTTTTTTTTCTTTTCTTTCTTTCTCTTTTTTTTTTTAAGAGACAGTCTCACTGTCTGGCCCAGGCTGGTGTGCAGCAGCATGATCACAGTTCACTGCAGCCTTGAACTCCGGGACTCAAGCAGTCCTCCTGCCTCAGCCTACCCAGTAGCTGGGACCACAGGCACACACCACTATGCCTGGTTAAGTTTTGTACTTTTAGTAAAGATGGGGTTTTGGCCATGTAGGCCAGGCTGGTCTTGAACTCCTGACCTCAGGTGATCTGCCCACCTCTCCCTCCCAAAGTGTGGGGATTACAGGCATGAGCCACTGCACTCGGATGTCAGTTTGATCTTATGACGCCATTTCCCTTCTTTATACATCCCCTTCCCCACATCTTGTTTGGTATTTAATGGAAATTTCTCTTTTCTAAAGGATCTACCGCTACCAATCTCATGACTATGCCTTCAGTAGTGTTGAAAAATTACTTCATGCTCTAGGAGGAGATGACTTCCTTGGAATGCTTAATCGAACACTTCTTGAAACCTTGCAAAAGGCCGGCTTCTCTGAGAAATTCCTCAATGAAATGATTGCTCCTGTTATGAGGGTCAATTATGGCCAAAGCACGGACATCAATGCCTTTGTGGGTAAGCCAGGGCTTGGAACAGTGGTGGACATGAGTTCACAAAGGGGCTTACCTGATGCTATGGTGGTTCTAGACTTTAGGCCATGGATCGGAGGCTACTTTTCTCTGTGAACCTCAGACATTGTTGGCAAAATTGTGCGTATATAGACGTTGATTTTTAGGGGGAGGGGGTCTTTAGCTTTCATTAGTTCAGTGATTCTTCATTGGGGGAGATTTTGCTCCCAGGGGCCATTTAGCAATGTCTAGAGACATTTAGAGTAGAACATGTAAATGGGAAGGGAGAGTGCGTAGAGAGCCTCTTAAAAGTCAGAATTAAAACACATTTTTTCTTCCTGTTGACAGGGGCAGTGTCACTGTCCTGTTCTGATTCTGGCCTTTGGGCAGTAGAAGGTGGCAATAAACTTGTTTGCTCAGGGCTCCTGCAGGCGTCCAAAAGCAATCTTATATCTGGCTCAGTAATATACATAGAGGAGAAAACAAAGACCAAGCACACAGGTAAGCTTGAATTTCTGTCTTATTGTTCCTGATTTCCCCTGCAGAAAATGATTGCTCTCTTCTGTCATCTCTTACTCAGTTCTAAAATGATGAAACTTAAAATTGTATATATTGTGCCATATAGAAATATTCCCCAATGGGCTGGGTACAGTGGCTCACGCCTGTAATCCCTGTACTTTGGGAGGCCAAGGAGGGTGGATCACCTGAGGTCAGGAGTTCGAGACTAGCCTGGCCAACATGGTTAAACGCTGTCTCTACTAAAAATACAAAAAATTAGCTGGGCTTGGTGGTGGGCGCCTGTAATCCCAGCTAGTTGGGAGGCTGAGGCAGGAGAATCACATGAACCCGGGAGGCAGAGGTTGCAGTGGGCCAAGATCACACCACTGCAGTCTAGCCTGGGTGACAGAGCGAGACTCCATCTAAAAAGAAAAAAAAAAAAAAAAAAATATTCCCCAATGTAGTTAAGTGCAGTGGCATGACTCCTTGGATTTGAAAAATAATCTTATCTTAAAAAGTAAAAATTCTGTATTTTGTACTTATTGACATTCTGAGTAAGAAATTGGCCTCAATGTAATAAAAATGCAAGGGACAGCTATCTTAAGGGATATAACTTCTTCAATTCTTTAGAATTATAGAGAAATTATGAAGAAGGTATAGAATTATTTTTAGATGGTATGTTAAAAACACTGAACAAATAAATGCCTTATTTCCTCTAGGAAATCCAACAAAGATGTATGAAGTGGTCTACCAAATTGGAACTGAGACTCATTCAGACTTCTATGACATCGTCTTGGTGGCCACTCCATTGAATCGAAAAATGTCTAATATTACTTTTCTCAACTTTGACCCTCCAATTGAGGAATTCCATCAATATTATCAACATATAGTGACAACTTTAGTTAAGGGGGAATTGAATACATCTATCTTTAGCTCTAGACCCATAGATAAATTTGGCCTTAGTACAGTTTTAACCACTGATAATTCAGATTTGTTCATTAACAGTATTGGGATTGTGTCCTCTGTGAGAGAAAAGGAAGATCCTGAGCCATCAACAGATGGAACATATGTTTGGAAGATCTTTTCCCAAGAAACTCTAACTAAAGCACAAATTTTAAAGCTCTTTCTGTCCTATGATTATGCTGTGAAGAAGCCATGGCTTGCATATCCTCACTATAAGCCCCCAGAGAAATGCCCCTCTATCATTCTCCATGATCGACTTTATTACCTCAATGGCATAGAGTGTGCAGCAAGTGCCATGGAGATGAGTGCCATTGCAGCTCACAATGCTGCACTTCTTGCTTATCACCGCTGGAATGGGCACACAGACATGATTGACCAGGATGGCTTATATGAGAAACTGAAAACTGAGCTATGAAGTGACACACTCTTTTTTCCCCTCCTAGTTCCAAATGACTATCAGTGGCAAAAAAAGAACAAAATCTGAGCAGAGATGATTTTGAACCAGATAGTTTGCCATTATCATTGTTTACTAAAAGTAATCCCTGCTGGTCATAGGAAAACACATGGTTCTAATTAAGTGTGAAGGTATAGCTATTGCACTTATGCCATCTCAAAGTATTCTTTTACTATCCATTAGGAGTTTTTCTTAAACTTGTTTGATAATAAGAATCACCTGGAGTTAGGAGGTGGCGGTTGCAGTGAGCTGATCGCGCCACTGCACACCAGCATGAGCAACAAGAGCAAAACTCCATCTCAAAAAAAAAAGCAAATAGAAATAATCACCTGAAGTTTGTTAAACCATATGGATTCTCAAGCTCCTCTCTTGAAGATTCTGATTCAGTAGGTCTGGGGTGGGGCCCTGGATTTTGATTAAAATTGTAGAACATTTTAAGGTGAGTACCTGAGGGAGAACTTAAAGATGTCTTAGTTGGGGAGTAGTCCTTTTGAACTTTACAGGTAGATGTGATCTTCAGTCAGATAAAATTTATGGAAGCTGGTATCTTATGCCTGACTCTTAGTAATTTCATACCTGTTTGAAGTACATGTGCCCATGCCTAAAGCCTTGACTTTCAGAATGTTGTCTTTTGATTATTCTGTCTTGATTTGATTAGGGGTGAAATTTAGAAGTCTTAGTAATGTAACTTGAAGATGTTAAACAAAAATCTCAAGTAAAATGAAAAACAAATATGGGCTACTGAATTAAGAAACTGGCATTCTATTATTAAATCCTCACTTCAGGAGCTTTTAAAAATACGGAGAGACCCCCGTAACTAGAGATTCAGATTCAAAGATTGAGGATAGGACCTTAGCCTTGTAGCTTTTTAAAGTTTCTAATGTGCACCCAGGGTTGAGAATCATCAATGTAGGTGTGAAAATGCCTACAAAGGGGTTTTAGTGCCTTAGAAGTCCTGAGAAACCCAATCTGTATCAAAGCAGATCCATTTTGCAAGGATCTTTCTCTTAGTAAGAACTTTAGAAGTAATCTTGATAAGAAGCACAGACAGCCTAACAGTTGGCGCTAGAACAGAATACTTGGAATGACACCAGAGTTAACCAAGTCCAGCATATGTCCAAAGAGTTAAGTGTTTCAGTTACTGTAGCATTATGGGTGAGAAATTGGTTGCTGAAATCTTAAGACAGTGGCTCTCAACTTTGGCTGCACATTGGAATCACCTGTAGGGTTTTAAAGCCTCCAAATGGTAACTAACATGCAGCCAAACTTGAGAACTAGTTCTGCATCTGCTGTACAAAGATCATGATTAACTGTCAAGACACTGGTAGAACAGAACAAGCAAAAGATTAAGAATTCAAAAGTAAATGCAACCAATTTAACATGTAATGTTATTAAAAAAAAAAATAAAACGCTTAGATCAGCCTGGGCAACATGGTGAAACCCCATCTCTACAAAAAATTTTCAAAAAGTTAGCCAGGCATGGTAATGCACGCCTGTGGTCCCAGCTGCTCAGGAGGCTGAGGTGGGAGGATCACTTGAGCCTTGGAGGTCGAGGCTGCAGTGAGTCATGATCATGCCACTGTACTCCAGCCTGGGCAACAGAGACCATCTTTAAAAAAAAAAAAAAAAAAAAAAAAAAAAAAAAAAAAAAAAAAAAAAAAAAAAATTCGCTCCATTGAATAGAAACTTAAAAAAAAAAAAGTCCTTCATAAGATCATGGCATTAGCTACTTTAGCAAAATAGTGTTAACTTTGGTTCTGAGTAAAAGTGACTTCTTCCCTACCACAGTTGTGAATGTTAATATGCTGATAAAACTGCCAAGATATATTTGATAGGTAGGGGATTAAACTCATGGTTTGTCAAAAGGGTGTTTTTTTCTAGTTTTATTCTTAACAGATATGTTAAGAGGTATTCATATTTGTTTCCTTTTGTGGTTTTAATGAAGACAATTTGTAAAGAATGTAATACTGTTATGTATATGCTAAATATTGGTAAATACTAATTTCTATCATATGTAGACTTGTTTTGCAATGAGATATATTTTTACTTATAATACCAATTTAGGCTGGGTGCAGTGGCTCATGCCTGTATTCCCAGCACTTTGGGAGGCCAAGGCAAACGGATCACGACGTCAGGAGATCAAGACCATCTGGCCAACATGCTGAAACCCCATCTCTACTAAATATACAAAAATTAGCTGGGCGTGGAGGTGCACGCCTGTAATCCCAGCTACTGTAATCCCAGCTACTTGGGAGGCTGAGGCAGGAGAATTGCCTCAATCGCGAGGCGGAGGTTGCAGTGAGCCGAGGTTGCACCATTGCAGTCCAGCCTGGCGACAGAGCAAGACTCCGTCTCAAAAAAAAAAAAAAAAGAAAAAAAAAACTTTAGGCTGGGTATGGTGGCTCACGCCTGTAATCCCAGCACTTTGGGAGGCCGAGGCGGGTGGCTCTCTTGAAGTCAGGAGTTTGAGACCAGCCTGGCCAACACGGTGAAACCGTCTTTACTAAAAATACAAAAATTAGTCAGGCATGGTGGCGCACGTGTGCCAGTAATCCCAGCTACTTGGGAGGCTGAGGCATGAGAATCGCTTGAACCCTGGAGATGGAGGTTGCAGTGAGCAGAGATCGCACCACTGCACTCCAGCCTGGGCAAGAGTGAGACTATGTCTCAAAAAAAAAAAAAAAAAAAAAAAAAAAAAAAAAATTAAAATGTTGCTGGTATTACATCAAACCTACTCTGGATAAATTTTCCAGTAGGGCATGTGAAATTGCTTTGGCAAAACCAAAACAGGTTATCAATACACCAAGGACATTAGTAGTTTTAATGCAACTACAGTATTGAGTACTTTTTTTAATGGGAGAAAAATTCTAGCAGAACCTGCTACTCCAGGCGCATTAGGTAGTTTTAGGCAACTGTAGTATTAAAGAAGAGTTTTATTGGAAGAAAAACCACTGTCAGAGCTTGCTGCTCCAGACCACTCTTTTTTTTTTTTTTTTTTTTAAATAGAAGAGACTGGTAAAAAGGATGCAGGGGCTGAATGAAAGCCAGCTCTGCTCCAGTGGTTTTCTGAGTTGAGCATGCATCAGTTACCTGAAAGGCTTGTTAAAACATCGCTAGGCTCCACCCTGTCTATTCAATAAGTTTGTTGTGGGACATAAGAAGTTGCATTTTATTAAGTTCCCCGGTGATGCTGCTGTTCTACTATAGGAACCACACTTGAAGAACTAGTTCTACAATTCAGCTCTATGTTGTTGCTAAAATAAAATAAAATAAAAAGTCAACGAAGATTTACAAAGAGCTGCTGAAAAATGGAGTAACAGTGTATGGGACTTCATATCAGTTCTCTTTATTGTGATTGTTAGTTTGATCCCTCTTGTTCTTTTGTTGTAAACATTTTCTATAATTAGGAAATGCCATTTAAGAGTGAGAGACGTATATATCTGTGAGCCATTGTGTTTGGTGTTTTACAAGAACTTTACCATACTTGTGTGTATTCCATTCTGTACAGTTTAAAAATGATTCACGATTTGCAGGCTTTTTATCAGATCACAAAAAAAATCAGCCTTAAGCATTTGCTTGGTAAGATTTCTTAAGATTAGGTTTATAATACAACCATCTATAATGTATCTCTTGTTTGAGCTTGTGGGCCATACAGTTCATTAACTAGATGAATACATTGTGGACAGCATCCTCGCTACCCTTCTCTAATCACAAAGAACCACGATGCACTGGAATGTTTTTCTCTGGAATCCTCTTTCTACTCTTGTATTAAAAATTTTCCCCACTTAATGATTATGTTCAAAATAAACTACATCATTACTTCCTGTCTTTTCTTCTGTTGTACTATATTTGGAATGTAGATGTACTTGGGAAAGTCAGACTAGATCAAAGTTACTATTCTTAAGTTTTGAAAATTAGTGTTTTAGAAGAAACTCATTCATGTTTGCAACTTCTTTATCTGTTTAGTGTTGAAAGATGGACAAAAGGAATCCTTGCCATGTTTCACATTTAATAAGATTCTTCCACTTTAATGCATAAAACCCTTTGATATCAGTGTCAACCAGGAAAATTCATGTTAGAAAAAATTGGAATGAGAGCTAATATTCTATATTCAGAACATTTGAGAAAACATTTTTGACTATTACAAAAGTTTATTTAGCAAAAAGTCTAATATGAAAATGTATATGACCTAATTTCCCTATGGAGAGAGGACATGGGTTTCTCTGCTGAACAGCCATTATTTATACTCGTTCCAAGGCTTCTAACATGATGATACTATTTCCTCGTATTACCTAAGAAAGAGAAAAATAAATTTGAAAAGAAGTCATGTAACAACATAACTATGATGATTTAAGAATTTTCACCAAATCATTAATGGTTTTTCAATACTACACGTCAGTTTGTTTTGTAAAGCTTTGTTCAAGCCAAAAGGTCACCAAACAACTCTAAGCCCTTTGTAAGACCGACATCTTCTAGATTTAAGGCTAACAATTAGCTTTGTGAGATTCTAATGCCAAGTCTCCAATGACTTAATTTCACCTTTTTTTTTTTTTTTGAGTCAGAGTCTCACTCTGTTGCCCAGGCTAGAGTGTAGTGGTGCAATCTTGGTTCACTGCAGCCTCTGCCACCCAGGTTCAAGCGATTCTCCTGCCTCAGCCTCCCAAGTAGCTAGGATTACAGAAGCCCCTCTACCACACCCAGCTAATTTTTGTATTTTTAGTAGAGACAGGGTTTCACCATGTTGGCCAGGATGGTCTCAAACTGCTCACCCCAGTCTCACAAAGTGCTGGGATTACAGGTGTGAGCTATCACATCTGGCCCTAATTTCATCTTTTAAAATGCAGGACTCTAAATGCCCATCCCTGACTCTATGGGATCCAAAAATTAATGAGTAAAATATGTACAGTAGAGTATGTTAGGTACAGTTTGGAGGTATAAGATCATTTAGGGAACAAACCAGGATGGGAAATTGTGAAAGGCATGCTTTATGAAAATGACATTTTACCTGGGTCTTGGAAATTGGGTAGAATTTTGAAAAGGAGATTTTAGGAAATTCTAGACAGAACTGAGATGAAGACAAAGTATAAGAGGATAAGGAAGTAATCTAATTTGAATGCAGTAAAAAGTTCATGAAGAGAATCAGGAAACAAAGATACTTGGCACTCAATCTTGGAAAGCTTCAAATGCCAATCTTAGTGTTTGGAGGACATCAGAAACTAACAATGAGCCAGTGAGAGTTTCACATTTGGGGGAATGACAATCATAAGTGTCCTGGCAACAAGATATATAAATACACCAAAGTTTGAAAAGGACAGAACCTAGAGGCAGAAAGGTTATTAAAAAAGGGCTCTAGGAGAATAGTGCTTGACCTAGTAGATAAGCCATAAATGAAGATAAGAATACTTATCGGGGGTGTGGTGTCTCACGCCTGTAATCCCAGCACTTTGGGAGGCCAAGGTGGGTGGATCACCTGAGGTCAGGAGTTCAAGACTAGCCTGACCAACATGGAGAAACCCCAACTCTACTAAAAATACAAAATTAGCTGGGTGTGATGGCACATGCCTGTAATCCCAGCTACTCAGGAGGCTGAGGCAGGAGGATCACTTGAACCCGGGAGGTGGAGGTTGTGGTGAGCCAAGATAGCGCCGCTGCACTCCAGCGTGGGCAACAAGAGCAAAACTGTCTTTTGTCAAAAAAACAAAACAAAAACAAACATCAGAGTATAGATGAATCAGCTGGTAAGTGAATTCAAGAGGGGTAGAAAAATAAGTGAAACAGGAAGGCTAGGGGACTAAAAACAAGAAGTCCCTAATAGACCATAGATCATAATAATCGATAGATCACCCATCAGTCAAATAAAACTGGATAGGTGAATGGAGGGGTACAGGAGGAAAAGGATAAGTAATGTAATAATTTTGAGGTGTTTATTAGAAATGGAGGCATTCTAAAAAGATTCAAACTGGAGCTATGCTTATAGGCAGCTAGAGTAAAAGTAGTTGTAACTTGTTCTTTTCTCCCCGTATCATGCTTGTTTTATTTACACATACACTGTGATTTATTGTGTTCTCCATGCAAATGTAAATTTTATGAGGCCAGGGGCTTTGGTGCAAAACCCTAGTGCCTAAAATAGTAGCAGGCACACAGAGGGCTCAAGTACCTGGTAAATACGAATCAAAGAACTCACATGTGAATACTGCAGCTGACAGAATAGAAGGGAACACAATTGGTAGGAAAAGGCCGGGCGCGGTGGCTCAAGCCTGTAATCCCAGCACTTTGGGAGGCCGAGGCTGGCGGATCACAAGGTCAGGAGATCGAGACCACAGTGAAACCCCGTCTCTACTAAAAATACAAAAAATTAGCCGGGCGCGGTGGCGGGCGCCTGTAGTCCCAGCTACTCAGGAGGCTGAGGCAGAAGAATGGCGGGAACCCGGGAGGCGGAGCTTGCAGTGAGCCGAGATCGCGCCACTGCACTCCAGGCTGGGCAACAGTGTGAGACTCCGTCTCAAAAAAAAAAAAAAAATTGGTAGGAAAAGTGTCTTGGAACCTGGCAGCCAATTATCAGCAATAAGTATGATAAGGTAGTAAAGAGCAGATTTAAAAGAGAATGGCTAGGCACGGTGGCTCACGCCTATAATCCCAGCACTTTGGGAGGCCCAGGTGGGCAGATAGCTTGAGCCCAGGAGTTTGACACCAGTCTGGACAACATGGTAAAACCCTGTCTCTACAAAAAATACAAAAATTATTTGAGGGTGGTGCTACTCGGGAGGCTGAGGTGGGAGGATCAACTTAGCCCAGGGAGGTTGAGACCACAGTAAACCAAGCTCCATGGTACTGCACTCTGGCTTCAGTGACAGAGTGAGACTTTGTCTCAAGCCAACAACAAAACCCAGTAAGAATACAGCTCCCCTCCATTTTTTTGAGACTGGGACTAGCTATGCTAACCAGACTGCAGTAGACTAGACTGGCTATTCACAGGCACAATCACTGCATACTGCATCCTCAAATTCCTAGGCTCAAGTGGTTCTCCCTCCTCAGCCTCTTGAGTAGCTGGGACTACAGGCGCACATCACCGTGCCCAGAATAAGCCAGGAGTAGAAATATGCTTACCCAGTTATCAGAATTTTATTTTAATTATTATTATTATTATTTTGAGACAGGGTCTTGCTCTTGTCAACCCAAGCTGGAATGCAGTGGTTCTATCACAGCTAACTGCAGCCTTGACCTCCTGGGCTCAAGTGATCCTCCCAGTTCAGCCTCTCAAGTAGCTGGGACCAGAGGCATGAGCCACCAAGCTGGGCTAATTTTTAAATTTTCTGTAGAGACAGGGTCTCACCATGTTGCCCAGGCTGATCTCAAACTCCTAGTCTCAAGTGATCCTCCTGCCTTCGCCTCCCAAAGTGCTGGATTACAGGTGTGAGCCACTGCACCTGGCCAGTTATCAGACTTTTAAATTCCCTACTTTTTTTTTGGCAACAGATGTTGAACATCACATCTCACTGACCAAAGCAAGAAAAGTTAGTCTTCCTGACTACCTCCCTGCTAAATTTACACACTTGTCTTGTCAGATATTATTTAGAAAATAAGGTTAGATGGTGAACTTTGTCCCATCTTATCTGTGGTCCAAAAACATTAAATGTATAATTCCAGAAACAGACAATCCATAAGTTTTACATTGCATGCTGTTCTGAGTAGTGTGATGATACCTCACAGTGTGATGATACTGTCCCTGGACGTGGATTATCCTTTGTCTAGCATCTCCATGCTGCCCATTAATCAGTTATCTCAGTTTTCTGACTGACTGTTGTGCTATCAAAGGGTTACCTGTGTTCAAGTAACCCTTATTTCACTTAATAATAGCCTGAAAGTATAAGAGCAGTGATGCTGGCAACATAGATATGCCAAAGAGAAGCTGTAAAGTGCTTCCTTTAAGTGAAAAGGTACAAGTTCTTGACTTAATAAGAAAAAGAATCATATGTTGAGACTGCTAAGATTTATGGTAAGGACGAATCTTCTATCTGTGAGATTGTGAAGCAGTAAAAAGAAATTCGTGCTGGCCAGGTGTGGTGGCTCATGCCTGTAATCCCAGCACTTTGGGAGGCCAAGGCAGGTGGATCACGTGGTCAGGAGTTTGAGACTAGCCTGGCCAACATACTGAAACCCTGTCTCTACTAAAAATACAAACATTAGCTGGGTGTGGTGGTGTGTGCCTATAGTCCCAGCTACTTGGGAAGCTGAAGCAGGACAATCGCTTGAACCCAGGAGGCGGAGTTGCAGTGAGCTGAGACCACACCTTTGCACTCCAGCCTGGGTAACAGAGTGAGACTCTGTCACATACACACACACACAAAATTTGTGCAAAGGGTTCACTACTATCTGTGGTTTCTGGTACCTACTCTGAGGATAAAGGAGGCCTACCGTAGTGCTATTCCTCTTTGCACTGTGTTTGAGGCCTAATTCTCCAAATCAAACTTGAACCATCAGGTCCAGAATTACATACTGCTCCTTTTGTTGTGCTTCAATGATGCTACAGAAGCACAACTCTAGCAAGAGTGCCTGAATTATGTAACATAATAAAATGTAAGATAGAGGCGATGCCACTGACAACTCTGGGGATGTCTCAGAAAATAGTTGAGATTGGGCCAGGCGCGGTGGCTCAAGCCTGTAATCCCAGCACTTTGGGAGGCTGAGACGGGCGGATCACGAGGTCAGGAGATCGAGACCATCCTGGCTAACACTGTGAAAACCCCGTCTCTACTAAGAAATACAAAAAATTAGCCGGGCGAGGTGGCGGGCGCCTGTAGTCCCAGCTACTCCGGAGGCTGAGGCAG